AAATTCGATGTTAGAAAATTTAAACTGCAGTAGATAAGCCAGAGAGGCAGAAGGACTTTGTCCAGGTCAAATTAGAAATACTAATCGAATCATCAAGCTCTTTTCATGAGTCAATCCGTTGATTCCCATTGTTTACACTCATTTTTGTAAAAAAATAAAATGGTGTCATGTATCATCCATGTTAATAAGTATTTTATTGATTCAAAGTTGTTGGTGTATAAGATTCAGTAATTATTTCCACAACGATAATAAAGTCGGTTTGTTGTTGGTATAAATCTCCAAGCATGCTGTTAAAGAGTATTTTTTGTTATAAATATACAGAGAAGAAACGAAGCAAAGGAGACTAACCTCTTGCATAATTAGTTCAGCACTATCTACATTTTAGTTTTACAAGCAATATCTTAATTTAGAACAAATTTTCTCAAATAGCTTTCCTAATTAAGTTTTTAGCTCTACACTATCATTAATTTTAACTTTAGTTTGTGTTATTTTGTTGTGAACATCTCTAATTGATATATTTAGTTTTTTACAATTCAATTTATTACACTTTTACCCAAAATTTATCTTATAGTTTCTTTTAAGTTTAGTTTTATACTTAAGTTTTTATTTCATTTTTTACGTTTTCATACTTTCACGGCGGCATCATGCTTCTTTTTTGCAATTTAGTTTTCCTACCATGCACTATTTATTTTTTTTCTCTTTTCCTTTATTTTTCTCTTTTATTTCGATTAGCAAACTCAAACAAATATTTTGGCCCTAGTTGTAAGAAGTCCCCGATGTTTTTCCGAGATAATTATTTATGAACCTTTATGCAGAAATGTACATCTATTTTTGTGACAATCGTTTGATTAGTGCGCATCTCATACTTTATTTAACTGGTGCTTTTTCATTAACTCGCAGTCGAGTTCTACGTTTGGAAGTAACAAGGGTCACTAAAAATTTCTTTTTTTTACTTTAAGCAAAATGAGTGACACACTTTTACAATTTTATTTGCCATACAACCCGAAAAGAAGATTTTAGAGACAACACCCATAAATTACAAAATCATATTAAATGCACGAAGATTGTACTAGTACCGAGTTGAAATAGTAGTATCAATTTGAATTTCCTTTTTTAATTAGTGGCCCTTACGCACTCACCAACCTCTTTCAAGGCAATTATTAACTTGTTACGATCAAAACAAAAAGTTGATGAGAATATGGTCATTATAAAAAATATTAAAATTTATTAAAATTTTAATTTTGAAAATAATATTTAGAAATATTAATTTATTGATTAATTTTAATTTATTAATTAATAAATATTAATTATTTTAT